CCACTCCACTCCCCCCGCCACCCCCTCCCCAGAGGCTGTCTGTCCGAGCCGTCCACCAGCTGACCACTGACCTATCCGGTCTACACAACCTGGTCTCCCTCACGCTGACCCAGTCTCGTGACGTCACACGCCTCGTCTTACCCACGTCTGCCTCCCTGCGGGTATGGGTTGGTGTTGATGTTGTTGTTGTAGACTTGGATTGTGTACGTGGAAAGTGGGATTCGCTTAATTAAACTGAATACGGTTGATAAAAAAAGCAGTAAACTGAACTTGAAAGTAGTGAAAGTAGATCTAAATAAAATCCCAGATTTTACGTTTTTTAAAAAATTTGAACAACCCCTCTAATCTTCTCCTTTTGTGTGTATGTTACTCTCTAGTAACACCTCTAATCAATTCTTTGGCACTTATTATATTATATGATCCTATTGTTTTTGCAAGTGCCATAAAATTTTGAATAAAACTACGACGTTTTCTTTGTATTTTACTCTCTAGAAACACTTCTGATCTTCAGCACTTACAAGTTTTTTGTTTGACCTAATTATTTTGTCGTTGCAAGTGCCGCAGTAAAACTCTTACTAAAACGAAACTGTCTCCCAACAGGCCCTGGAAGTGTCTGGCTGCAGCATGACGTCAGTACCACGTGGCTGGTGGCCATCTCTGTCCGACCTCCGGTCACTGAACCTGCACAACAACGAGATAGACACGTTGACCTCTCTGCCGGAAATGACCAACCTCACCGACCTTGACCTGTCCCGCAACTTCCTGTCCGCCCTGACCCCGGGGTCACTGACCGGCCTGCCTGGGTTGACCTCTCTTAACCTTTCCCGTAACACCCTAGAGGCGGTCACACCCGGCTCGCTGTCCACTCTCCCTGCACTGACCAGACTAGACCTCAGCTGGAACTACATCAAGGAATGGAACCCCGGCCCTCTGGCGTCTCTCCAGGTTCTGGATCTGAGCGGGAACTTGTTGACCGATCTAATGTGGTCTGAGTCCGGGCGCAGCTCTGAACTCAGGTCTGTGGATCTTTCCGAGAACGAGCTGTCTGACTTCCCGCCCGACGTCCTGGGTCTGGCCAATGTCCGAGTGGTCAGTCTAGGGAGTAACCCGCTGACCAGCGTGCCCGGCCGGGAGATTTGTCATCACGTGACCTCGCTGTCTGAGCTGGGGCTGGAGGCGACCTTGCTTCACTGTGACTGTCGCGTGACGGCCTTGGCTCGGTGTCGGGAGAAGCTACAGGTCAGAGGTCACTGTGCCGGACCCTCTGACGTCAGCGGTCAAGCGGTGGGGCAACTCCAGGCTTGTGTGGTGACCACTATTCCACCAACCACCACTACCGCCACCACCACCACTACTACCACAACCAGGCGGCAGGACATACTAATACAAGCGTTTTCCCGAAAAGAAGGGTTCGAACCGCCATCCCGTGGCGACAACAGACCAGCTCAAGCGCACCAGGCCACATCTTTGTCCAGGCCAGCGAAAAATCCCTCCGCCTCCAGGTCCCAACCTGTTGCGACGTCTAGGAAACAGAACATCTCTCTGACAGGAAGTGGCAACAGCAATACTTCCATTCCCCCGCTAGTGGCAGGCAAAAACGTCCAACAAGCTGTCACCCCCACCGTCCTGTTTCTCTCTCCGCTTCCCGTCAAACACACGGTACAGCAATCTACGACCTTCCACTTGATGTCCCCTCCCGTGTTGACCATCGTCTTGGTCCTGTTGGCAACGGTCGGCGTGACTGGAGTCCTGGCTCTGTCCGTGTGGGCTGTCCGGCGCCGCCTGACCACCGGGCACGGGGAGATTTCGTGTGGGTCTGAGGACGGGGGGCTGGGGTCAGAGAAAGACCGCTGGGCCGTGGCTGGGCCAGGCGATGAGATGAGCCGGCCTGCGGGGCTGCAGGAAAGCTCTGTCTGAAACTCGGGCATTGTAAGACAAGATAATTATAATTTACATTAGATCTATATGTGGAACGGCGTGGTGGAATCAGGCTCTCGTCATTTTTTGGCATGTCAAGTTATTAGTATCACCTTAAAGCTTGTTCATTTGCCTGCTTTTGGTTAAAAATAAATCCATCTATGTTGAGTAGAGGTCGAGATATTTGCGATTGAAGGAGGTGGGGGTCATCCGGTTTCAGAGGTAAAATTAGCGCGAAAATGGCCGCCAAAGTTTGCTTCATAGCTTTGGAGGCCTTGGAAACAAAAAGTTTACATTTTCTGTTCCTTTATTCAGTGTTTTCCAGTAAAACCCACACAGAAATGTGTTTTTAATGAACGCAAAAAGGTGCTGAGTCAATTAAAAGAACATTAGAACAAAACTGCCGGACGGCCAGAAATACGCCAGTTTCTTCGATTTCATTTTTTTCAGCAGCGCCTGATTTCACCATTTACCTCACATATGTCCTCGCCGTCATCCAACATTGTCGTATGTCAAAATTTCCACCAAGAAAAATGAAAATCAAGTCTCAGTATCTTGTAAAGTTTGATGGGATGCATCGATTCCTCCTAGTCCTAGTCTCACTCTGTGCTAAAACTACTAGCAGTAACAGATTTAGACGAATCCAACATAAATTTGTGGGTGATTGGTGGAGGGCGCCACTGGTAGGTCCAACTTCTTTACTTTCCCCTCTGTTGTTTCTGTCTGTCTGTCTTACTTTTTCCCCAGCACTATATGACCATTATTGTGTCGATGTGCTTCTCTTTACTCAAGCTCAAACGAACAAACACGTAACATAAATTTTGTATTAAGTATTAAGACATTAAGATAGCGTTCTGCAAGAAATTTCTTTAACTTTAATACTTATGAAAATTCATGTACACGACAATGATGAATGACGGCGCCGATGTGAGTCATCATACATACATGGTCACTCTTGGGCGTAAAAGCACATATCTGTCCCCGCCGTTTTATGCAAGGAAAAATTCTGAAATTATACAAACTGAGCCCTCAAAATGTGAAATTATGCGATTCTGATAATTTTAACGAAGAAAGATAGAGGAAAATAATCAGAAATTATGCAAAACATGATGATCAAATTTTGCTAAATTATGCGGGGTGCTTAAAACCACGGGGACAGACTTATTAAAAACAACCCAAGGCAGCTACGAAATCTTCAAGTTCAAGGAAATCCTCCTCACCAATGTCCGATGTGCAAACATCCTCACCAACGTCCGAAGTGCCAACATCCTCACCAGCGTCCGATGTGCCAACATCCTCACCAGCGTCCGATGTGCCAACATCCTCACCAACGTCCGATGTGCCAACATCCTCACCAACGTCCGATGTGCCAACATTCTCACCAACGTCCGATGTGCCAACATTCTCACCAACGTCCGATGTGCCAACATCCTCACCAACGTCCGATGTGCCAACATTCTCACCAACGTCCGATGTGCCAACATCCTCACCAACGTCCGATGTGCCAACATTCTCACCAACGTCCGATGTGCCAACATTCTCACCAACGTCCGATGTGCCAACATCCTCACCAACGTCCGATGTGCCAACATCCTCACCAACGTCCGATGTGCCAACATCCTCACAAACGTCCGATGTGCCAACATCCTCAACAATGGCGACCTCACTGGCTCTCGAGGCAGCAACATCGATGTGTAACTTGCTACTGTAACCAAGTGCTAGATCCAAGTCTGTTGTCAGGGACAGGCTTGTTGTGCGCTGACTCGCATACAGGAGGACCAACGTAACGTGTTTGGGTTTTGTTTTTTCTTACTTCAGTTTATATTTGAAAAATTGGTTTTGAAAAAAGATGAATAATTTCTGTTTGAAAGATTGGTGAAAATTTTTTTTTGAAATACACGTAGACAAGATTTCTACGCTTGATTTTTTAAAATAATTGTGAGGCAGCGTTTTGGAATCAGGCTCTCGTCAATTTTTGGGCATATTGAGTTATTGGTATCATCCTAAAGCTTGTTCATTAGTCTTGCTTTCAATGAAAAAATTACCCATCCATCTTCAAAAAACAGTGGAGATATTTTGGATTGAAGGAGGTGGGGGTCACCTGATTTAAGAGGTAAAATTAGCGAGAAAATGGCCGCCAAAGCTTGGTAAATTCCAAAGCTGGAGAGTCCATGGAAACTGTAAATTTATATTTTTGTGCCTTTAATCAACGTTTTTAGGTGAAATCCTCAAAGGAATGAGTTTGTAAATGGACATAAAAGGTGTTGAGTCAAAACACAAAAATTTGATTAAAAATTGCTAAGCAGGGAGAAAACTGCTGTTTTCTTCGATTTCGTTATTTTGACGAGAGCCTGATTCCACCACGCTGACTCACAATTCCTATTTGAACGATTAGTAGAAAAAATGCTGGAAAGATTTGTTTTTAAAAAAACATAGAACAAATTTTTTTTGATAGATTAGAGACATTACAAAAGCACTTTTTATTTGAAAGATGAGAACAAAGCGGAACCTGGAAACATAGACTGTCTTTAGAAATTCTTAGATTAAAACGGCGTCTACCGCTGTAGCACTCCCCAAACTTGTGTTATTGTTATTCATTATTACGTGGGGTTTTTTTACTGTTGGCCACCTTGAGTGGCATCTGTCACTGTCATACAATGTAGTTTGGTTAGGCTATCTGTCCTTGCATGCAGGAGATCACAGTTCGATTCCCGTGTGGGAAAGTTATTTTATTGAGTATACATAATGTGTATATCTCAGTCTGTCTTCTGAGATACTGGCTCCTACTCAGCCAAGCGGGTGGTCGGATGGTGCCACTGATACTGATAGCTTTAGTTTTAGTAAGGTTTTAAGGCGCTCACAACACAATAAGGTCATATTTAATGAGTACCGAAGATTACAGGTGTTACAAGAGAGTAACAAACACAAAATAGGAGGGGAAATAAGGACAATAGATGTTTGATAGGAAAGAACGAGAAAGCCACACCAGAGCACCTACCAACCACCCATATACTAGCAATGTGTCCTATTTCAATTTCATGTTTGCCGTCTGTAGGAACTGCCAGTGGCACCCTCCAACCCCTCGCTTCTTTCCTCAAACAAAGCAAATATTGACTCCACCATCCGACGCCAACATTTTAAAAAAAAAAAATCAAAATTCTCCAGTTTCAGGAAAAACACATTCTGTCTAGCTCAACATGGATTTCAACACCCTCACCAGCACACCCTCTCTATGGCTGTTGGCCAAGTACAGAAAAGGTAGAAATAGAAGAAAAATGCTGGAGAAATAGGAGAAAAATACATGTATTAGAAATAAAAGAAAAAATATTTGGGAAAAAAAGGTGGAAATGGGAGAGATCATAGAAGAAGAGAAAAATGTAGAAAAAAGGTACACAGGGGGGAAAAAGAAAAAATGGTAGAAAAAAGAGGTGGAGAAAAAAAAGTAGGAATAGGAGGGAAAATAAGATGGAGAAGAGAAAGAGGAGAAAAGGCAGATCGAAAAAGAGAAAATAAAACTACACAGAGAAAAAAGGAGGAACTAGGAGAAAAAAAGGCAGTAATAGACTAGAGCTATAAGAGGGAGAGCAAATGAATCTGTCGTTTCGACTCACATGTGACAACAAGAAAATTTTTGTAACAAACAAGAAGTCAAGAACTCCCAGAATTAATCCTTGATGCGTTTTATTCATAAACACAAGTTTAAATAATGATGATTTCGTTTTTACAAAATAGCGCGGTACAGAACAAGACAATTTGCCTACACCCAACAAGGAAGGGTGTTGAAACACTGGCATACTTGCGAGTATCGGCAGAAGACAGAAAGAAGAAAAGAAAGAAAGATAGAAGAAAGACAAAGATGAGAGAAGTAGCAGATCATTGGGATGAGAGAACGGGGGAAATGTATGTGGTCATTATGCTGGGTGCACGTGAAAGACGTGAAGAGGGTGAGGTGGAACCTCTGCCAGGGTACACCCAGCTGTGGATGGAGGAGAGAGAGAGAGAAAATCTCAAGTCATTCGCGGCCCTGCCCAGCCCAACCAAGGGACAGGGGGTCACCCACCGCAGTGACTTTTGATCTTTAACCACCATGTTTGACCCGTAAAGGTACACACACACACAAAATCCTGAGTCAAGACAGACTCAGCTGAGATACAAATTCGTCCTTTCTTTCCAATATGGAAAAAAGAAATAAAAACAAAACGAAACAAAAACAAACTGTAAGCTGGAGGAAGAAAATATCACATGGTGGACACACAGAAAGTAGGTCACGTGTGCCAGTTCTGTTGTTGTTTTTATGAGAAGAGATTGAAGGAGTAAAAACATTCACGTTTTTAACAAAAAGGGGTGGGGGTGGGGGGTGAGGAAATATCAGAAAATGCAGACCCTGGAGTGATACTGAACACCGACAATCAGAGGAACAAAATTATAGAACATCCTAGTCAAATGACAAGCCTGGTAATAATTAATTAGCATAAATAAAAACATATTCGCTACACCACATACGAGGAGGGACAACGCTACACGTTCCCTGTAGGTACAATAATTTACATCCCTTGTAATAATAGTCCTGTGATCATATGTCGGAACAATCTTTGGAGACACGCCAGGGATAGAATCTACACCCAGTAGCCTACTCTCTTCAGCAGTACAAGAGGAGTGGTTCCAAGTACTTTCTTCAGCAGTACTGCTACTATAGACAAGTTTATCTACGACCTTCACCTTACTAGGTATATACCTACTCTCAGACAGAGTAGAGCTGGATAAATGCGTCACTTACATGGAATAAATAGTCTGAAAACACTCCAGTTTTCCTCTTACGTCGTCCATTATGAACTTTTCGTCACTTCAAACTGGCCCTATAGTTCATGAGGACGACGGGCAGAGAGCGGCCCGCCCAACACACAAGTCATGACTACCTCACCATACACAAGTCATGACCACCGCACCACACACAACACAAAGTCATGACTACCGTACGGTACCACACAAGTCACGACTACCTCACCACAGTATCATGGTGCTCTATGGCAGTAAAAAAAACCTGGCAAATAAAAATGTCCGTACAATGATAAAAAGCATGTATGTATAGAGTACACGAATCGCCAACTACTTTGAAATACATACAGAGAAATATTGCCAGAAAAGTGTGTACAAAATCTTACAGCAAACAAATCTAGTTTTGGATCAAGCATTCTGAGGTACACAAGTCTAAGCAGAAGATAAAATCTCAAAATCTCTCTCTTTCTCTCGATCCAGGGACATGCATGTGTAAATAAATCTCTCTCTCTCTTGCTCACACACATCACGCGTTCTGGTGCATCACACAAAAGGGAAACTGCATCAACTTTTTAAGTCGAGCAGACCCTTGCACGCACGCACACACACACAGGCAGCATCTTCTGGGCTAAAGCAGTCCTATATAAACTGACAAGAACCCGTGAGACAAAGATCAGTGGGCCAGAGAGACAGCACACACAACAGCTGTGTAGTATTTAGTAGCTTCACACACGCACGCGAACCGTACGACACCCACCGCACACCCTGCCCGGCCCGACATAACAAGATACAAAAGGAGGAATGCACGTGGTGTCCCCGATAACGCAACCGCCCTCCCAAAGGGGAGGAATACACACCCTCCCCTCCCACCCCCCTTCCCTACTCCACTCAGCACATCCCACTCATCATCTTTTTATGGAGTCTCGGGTGCGCTGCAGCGAGACAGGGAGAAAAATGAGGTCACTTCCATAACCCACCCCAAAACCTAACGCCACGTCACGCCACGCATCGTCCTCGGGCGTGAGGTCACAGTGATGACATCACAAGGACACATGCACTTGTTCGAGTGAGCGAGCGAGCGAGCGCGTGCGTGCAGGGGTCACTTCCTGTCCGGCGTGTCACATGCGGTCCTCTGTGATGCTGGTGGTCATGGGCTGACTGCCGCAGCTGCTGGGGCTACAGGACATCAGCTCTGAGGGAGAGAGAGAGGGGGGAAAGGCTGGGTGTGAGTCGACCAGTTATGTCAGCAACAGTTTTATGGCACTCACATACAACACAAATATGTCATACAAGTGCCGAACATTATTTGTTTCAGCAAGAAGAAAGATAAAGACCATAGATATTTTGTAGGAACAAAAGAGCAAATCATCCACAGGGGACAAAAGCCTTTGAAAGCGTAAAGCTTGTCTTAGTTTGAAAGTTTTGAGTAGAAAGAAGCACAGGCACACAACAACTGCCATGTAGAGAAAGCTGGAGATGAGACTGACAGACAGACAGAAACAACAGGAGAAAAGAAAAGAAGTTGGGCTTACCAGTGATAAAAGTCATTTCAAACGGGAAAAATGCACAGTCATAAAGTATAAACTAAGCTCCAAATGAAACAAAAGGGAAAAAGTAGATCTAAAACTAATTTTTAAAATAAAAAATTTTCCCAAAAAAAAAACCCAGAATGAATTTTACAGGTCAAACCAGAACAAATATGGTCAAATTTTGTAACAGCCATCTCTTAATATTCTAAACTCTAAAAGTGCACCACCCATTACACATGTCTATGATAAATTTTAACTACCGTATATATACATATACAAAATTGTAATCCTAGAAGGACTCTCATTTGTCACCAGAAATATAATGCAAGCAGTTTCAACAATGAGGTCAAAATAACCAAGCAGGGGGAGCAGGTCACAGTTTTAGTCATTGGGTTACTGTAACTGAAGGCGATATATCGCTGGCTAGCTCGTCACATGTACTGAGCCCAACATTTCGAAATTTCTTTCTTTTTTTCTCTTTCAGTTTCTTAATCTGTGGTATTGGTTGCATGTGCTTGAGAAATAGGCTATTTTGTGAACATTTCAAATTCTAATTATATATTTTGAAAAAAGCAGCAAAATAACATACATGAAGTAAGTATAATTTGTTCAAAGAATGAAACAGACTTTTCTTTCTCTCTTCTAAAAAAATTGTTCCTCCCTGGGTTTAGAACATTTGAACAGCTTGCCAGCAACACACAGTCCGGGAGACACGTCAAATAAGCCTAGAAGGAAAATTGTCTGAATATGGGCAAGCAAATACTTTAGACACAATACGTCGTTTAGGGCTGGGAACATCGGACAGAAACATCAGAGGGAAATATACCATGTTCGCTATACTGCATGCTTTCCCGGAAGCTGAGAATATCTCCCGAGTGTTCTAACACCTGCTGGGTTATAATATAGATAGTAAGGCACAAAGAGCTAGCTGTTGAGAGGGGATATATATATATGCTATACAAATACTATTTATAACAATTTGTTAATGAATAAAGTAGAACCTACCAATAGCGTCCATCAACTGTAATCTTCCGTACAACATAATTTACAAGTAACTTAACCACAGTATGGAGACCCCTCATAAAAAGCCCCCACTAGGCTATGTCTGTATGTACATGTTCCATCATATCTAACCTACAGCAACACCATCTACCACCTGACTGTGTGCACCAGGTTTCTACGTTTCTCTACAAGGAAAAGCTAGCTTTGTTACACTTTGTACAACACACACACACACACACACAGAGAGCTCCCTACACCAGCCATCTACTCCCTGTCTGTCACAACAGAACAAAGGCTACATACATGGTGACTACATCACAACAAATAAATCATCAAAAACACATTCATTCCTACATCAAAGAATAAGAATAGAAAAACAACACAAAATTATCTTCTCACATATCATTATGCCAACACATGTCGCAGCCACACCACACACTGAACAGAACATTTTTTTCTTCTTCTAAACCCCCCCCCCCCAAAAAAAAAACAACAACAACCAAACAAAACAACCAAAAGCATTCTTGCTTAGTTTTGTTTTGTGAAGATATTTTGTCCAATTTTTGCTGAGCTGACTCACCAGACAACAATAAAGGGGTCAGGACCTCAGGCCCACACACTGACACACACACACAGGAAGAAAATAAACACACACAGGAGGGAAATAAACACACAGTGAAGCTACACTACACAAGCCATGGACAGCATCGTAAAACCCACATAACTTATTTATACAATGTTGCTCAACTCTACTCAGGAAAAACACACGACCACAGAAAAGCCACACATATAGTTTTTATACAAGAGTTGCTGACCTCTACTGGAGAAAACAACACCATAAAACCCCCATAACTCATGGAGATAGAAGTAGGACCTACCATTAGCCCCCCCCCCCCCCCCCATGTAAAAGTGAAACTGAACAAGAAGAAAAATACGCCCCCAAATTCTCCAAAGTGCCCACACCAAAAAAGTGGGCCTAGGATAATAATTAGAGGGTGGAAAGAGAACGAAAATAAAACACCCAAAGCAATTTATACCTCAAAAAACCCCCCAAATTTTGGGGAGGGAAGGAGGGGACCCCAAAAGCCCCCCCCCCCCCCCCCCCCCCCCCCCCCGCCATGTAAAAGTGAAACTGAACAAGAAGACTCAAGAATGCAGACACAACATAAAATGCCCAGTAACTAATAAAAGAGTGGCAGAACTAAACTAAAGAAAATCCTAAGTGTACATTCGACATTAATCCATAGCATGGTCCGTGAAAGACCAAGGGGCACACATAGATCTTGTATACACACAAATGACAAATGTCGAAACAGGAAAAGAAAATATTATTTTTTAAAATAACGAGCGAACACAAGCATGAAAATGAAATAGCATAAAAAACAACAAACAAACACAACAAAAACAAAACTAAAACCATTTATAAATCTCAAGGACTCCAATCAGGAAATGTCAATGACAGAGGTACAAACAAACAAAGAACTGTACAATTTTCCCCCTCGATCAGAATAGTTTGTGGAGTTATAGATCTACTATAATATATTCACATCCTGTTCCATTACTCATTTCCAAATTCTGACATTACAAATTCCAGAGCCTCACTGCTTCGAAGGTTATTAAAAGTCTTCATTTTGTATGATTCAACATAAAACTAAAATGAGTCTTTATGAAATTATTACAAACATGAAACCAGATCTACTGGGGTCTTTTTGGCGTAAATCTAGTGTAGGTTTTCCATGTCTTGTATCTATTTCCACCAAAGATTAAAATACACACACACATTTTTTCTTAGTCCATGAACCAACCATACTAACAGACAGCACTGTCTTTAATTAAGTTATAGGCAATAAGCATACAGGTAATAAATTATGGGCTATAAAAGCATACTAACAGGCCATATGAATATGAGTAATAAATAAGCAATGAATGAAATAAGAACACAGGTAATAAACCAGAAATAGGAATGCAAGTATTAAAAATATATACAAGAGTCATCACCTCATCACTTTCGTCCTTGACACCTACCGTTGCTAGACATAAACATCCAATGTTTCTAGACTCTCCTGTTTATTTGGAAACCACGACATCAAAGAGATGTAAAGCTTACATCCAAATCAACAAACATAAAGCGAACTAGACATTGGCGTCTCTCAAGGTTACTGTGAGAATCTGTCACTGACTTAGGAACTTTTGTTTCAAAAAGAGTTTTTAGGCACTTGTGACACAATTACGTCATATAAAATCCATAGAACAGAGGTGTAACTAGAGAGCAACAATGAAAGAAAAAAAAGGAGGAGAGATAAGAATGATAGATGTCCGATAGGAAAGAAGGAGCAAACCACACCAGAGCACCCGCCAACCACCCGCACAGAAAAGAAGTAGGACCTACAAGGGGCACCCTTCAACCACCCACAGTTCACTTACAAAGAGGTTCACAGACAAAATAAGAGACAATAAATTATTCAATAACAGGACAGCCACATCAACAGCTTTAGTGTGAAGAACGTTACTAAGAACATATAACATTTCATGTCCGTGAGAAACTAAAAGCTTAGTAAACACAACAGCAAGTTTGGGGGATGAACCGAGGAGGTTTTTGGAGAGATGACGGGGGAAAAAAAAAAGAAGGAACAAAGGGGGGGGGAAGTAATAAAACTAAGGAGGTACACACAGGAATCAGTGGGGAGAAAAAAAGAACGGCGCCCTCCAACCACCCGCGAGTATGTAAGCCCACTATGACAGTTTGTGTGCTACTACCCCCCCCCCCACCAACGAAAAAAAAATTCATCTCACTGGGGTTTTTTTGCACATGCACTGTGACCCAACACTCTTCACTCCACTGGTGGTGAGGACTAGAAAAGCTGCGTAAGTTGAGGTGAAAAATCTCCACTGTTCCAACAAAAGTCACAACCTCTCACAGCTGTATCATCTCTCAACCGCCCCCAGCTGTTCTTAAAATTTCTTTTTTAAATGTAATTGTTTCTACATCCCTATCGACACAAGTTAGACTACGTGTTCTGGCTACTTTATTAATTAACACTGAGAAATTTTTTTTAAAACATCAATAATGATAGACATGATGTATCGCTTTGAACCGACACGGTAGAAAATATTTTTAAAAAGCATTTTCATCAACTATACTCACGATACAAAATGCATTTATACACAAACACACACATACACTCATATATTATCTATGTCCATACAAATAATATACATATATATATTATATATACATACAGTCTAGCATGCACATTGCGAACAGATTTTCAAGTCCTGAATTTTTTCTTATACCTACATTATAATACTTTCTATTGAAAACACGCACAGAGTGAAATTTGTACATAGCAAAAAGATTTCCCCCACATCCCACTGATTTCGCTATGTACGTGCTGGACTATATGTGGGATTATTTATTAAAAGGAGAAGAAAGTAAAGCATTACATATAAATATGCACACATTAAAAAAAAGAAATAGAAAGAAATGAGATAAAAAAGCAGGCAGAGAAAAATATCCAAGGCACACACAAACACATCAAACACTGCAACACTGAACACACACAGGTAGCTGGCTCATGCTAGTGGAGAGAGAGAGAAGGAGAGAGAGGAAGAGAGAGGGAGAGAGAGAGAGAGGGAGGGAGAGAGAGAGAGAGAGAGAGAGAGAGAGAGAGAGAGAGAGAGAGAGAGAGAGGGAGAGTGAGTGAGAAAGAGTGAGGAGATTGGACATAAAGAGACAGAGAAAAAAAAAGGAGAAAAAGAGACGGAGTGACAGACACTGAGAGAGGGAGAGACACAACCTACTCTTACTGTTCAGTCCCTGGGTAGTCGCAGCGTGAGGGGTGAGGGGGGGGGGGGAGGGGAGGAGGAGATGGACAGAAGAACAAAGCGGGTCAGATATAAAAGAACACGTCACACCAGTGACCCGACTCCTTCGATCGCTCTCACCTGAGCCCACGCCCGGCGGCGTCTGGTACGACCAACGATGCGGTTCCATCCACAGAAATGCTCACATCTATCGAGGGATCCACAAATCTTACATTGACCCCAAATCTTTCTGTTCACATCAACTCACACACTGACCTCAACAGATCTCAACTCTCAAACTATTAACATTCATGTCCTTCTAGCCTAACCACTAACCACAAACAGGACAACATTTATTTCTAATTTATTTACTTTCCACAAACAAAGGTCAAATGTAATCACTTTCAGTAAGGGAATACTAATTTCATATGTAATCACTTTCAGTAAGGGAAAGCCAATTTTATATGTAATCACATTCAGTAAGGGAAAGCCAATTTCATATGTAATCCTTTCCTGTAAAGGAAAAGCCCCCCGCGTTTCATTTTTGTTTTTTATAAAGACACACTAAAACATTTATTTATTTTCTATACAGGAAAGGCCCAATGTCAGATTCATTTTCTTTCAGCTTTACTATCCTTCTGCTTCAGGACCCCACTCTCTTCCCCAAAATGTCAGCACTTTAGTCTATTGTACCCCACTCAATAGTAACTGACATATCTTTTTTTCACAGCAGTTAACACCCCCCCCCCCCAAAAAAAAAAAAAAATTTTTTTTTTTTTAAAATCAGAGCCCCTTTATCTCTCCGTCTCACAGCAAACTTCTGTCACAGTCCATCTTTTCACTCTTCTCCCCACAAAATCTTCCACCAACTCCAACCTAATTCTTCCTGCTTGTTATCAGGTCCTTTTAACCCGCTGCTTTCATCAACACTTACCATGTATAATAGTGTGAGAGATGAGAAGTACATTGACTCTATATCGGCATTCTCTGCTATTGTGCCAATGTGCTTCTCTTTAGGTAATTTAGCACCGGGAGAAAGTAAGACAAACAGAAAGTAAGACAAACAGAAAGTAAGACAAAGAGAAAGAAACAACAGAGGGAGCGGAAAAAAGTAGGACCTGTCAATGGCGTCCTCCAACCACCCCCAACACTTACCACAACGCTGGGTAGAGGAGACAGCTGTACATGACGATACAGTGACGTCCCAGCACAGAGATATTCTCACAATTCAAGGAACAATAGTATTCTCAGACTTGAGAGAGACACGGTACAGACACAAGATAAACCACCTGACAAACTATAGTGTACGTTTGAACAATTTGACACACAACAGTGTACGTTTGAACAATTTGACACACAACAGGGTATGTTTGAACAACTTGACACACAACAGTGTACATATAAAACAACTTGACAGACACAATGGAGAACATTATAAAAACAGGACACACAACAGTGTACAAATAAACAATTTGACAGACAAACGTATGCGTATAAAAAACCTTAAACGTATATTAAACAATTTGACAGACAACCGTATGCGTATAAAAAAAGCTTGATGGACACAACCAAGTACTAACAGAAAACTTGACCAACATGACTATGAACGTATGAACAACTCCAAACACACACACACAAACAAAAAGAAGACAACAGACGCACGTCGTCACAACTGTCTCTCATCCATCATTCAGACAAACAAACCAAAACCATGCATCATCATCGGACCGAGCCCCACACAGTCTGGGCTCACCACACACACACACACACGCACACACAGGGCCCGGCGCGGTAACTAGGAGGCTGGCTGCCCGGCGCCCGAGTTGGTGGTTAGAGCAAGCAGCTACAGTACAGTATGGTATATGGTAAGTCTGTCCCAAGATGCAGATTTGGTTAAGTGTCTAGGTATGGAGTGAGTAAATGCTGGCTATAGATAAAAGGAATCCTCTCTGCCTCATAGTGTGAGTAGCTTAGTCCGCCTCAAGATGCACACATGTATTAAGACATCTTAAGCATTTTCAGTTCCTACTGGCCTATACTTCATAAGCTTTTAGTGTAATTTTTTAAATTATTATAGTTGTTCTGTGCCTATGTCTGGATGAAAATAGTCAGTGCGAGGGTGTGTGTATATGTGTGTGTTTGTGTGCATAAATATATATTGCATGAGAAGAAAGGAAGTAGTACGAAAGGTTTTGAAAATGGGTATTCAATGTAAAGCGCATTGAGCAACTTTTTTGGAAATGCACTATATAAATGTTAGATATTATTATTAATATTATCATTATCTTGGTCATGTGTGAGTACAGTGGAATATATATGCGTAATATTATGTGCGTTATATGTTGGGGGCTATAGAAGGGGTGGGCCCTCGCTTCCCCACAGAAGGGAATAGCTAAACCATAATGTAGGCGTTTTTACACTCCCTAATCGACACAATTTAGGTCATTTGGGAGTAAGTAAGTTCCTCTCATGATGCACGGATGAGTGACCATGCTGAGACATAATAAATGTATCATGGTGTGGTAACAAGAGGGGGGTCCTCTCTAGCCTAACAATGTCTCCCCCACGTGTGTGTGTGTGTGTGTGAATGTGTGTGTGTGAGTGTTAGTGCGTGAGTGTATGTGAACATCTCTGTGTGTGTATGTGTGTCTGTGTGTGAATATTTGTGCGCGCGCGCGCGTGTGTGTGTGTGCATA